GGGGTGGCACCCAGCCCCTGCTTCTGCCTAAACAGGTGCTTTAATCCACTGAGTGCCCTCTTGTACAATTTGATGAAATTTGTTTTATTTTGTTTTTTTGAGACCGTGTCCTGCTGTGTGGTTCAATGTGTGACCCAGGCTGGCCTCAAATCATAACAATCCTCCTATGTTAGCCTCCCAAGTACTAGGATTTTAAGCATGTCCACCCATGTACAACTTTGATGAGGGTTTTTTGGGTGGCTGGGGGTGGGGGTGGGAATCAAACTCAGGACCTTGCACTTGCCTGGCAGGCACTTGTACTGCTGAGCTATATGTCCCACCCTTGAGATGTACATAAGATAAACTTATATGAGCTGCCAGATTTAATGACTATAAAAGAATCTCAAGGTTCAGTTGTTTTGCTGTCCCTTCTTTGCTTCCTGTTTTTGCACCTTGTGTGCAATAAAAAACATAGCCCCTACAATTATCATATGGATTATATTCATTATTTAGAAGCTTTAGGTATCTTCATATTGAATGGTAAATGATAAATTCTGAAGAAAAAATGTATGTTATCATCTCAATACAATTTTTTTTTTAAATTTTTTTTTGGCGGAACCAGGGATTGAATTTACACCTTTGCGCTTGCCAGGGAAGCGCTTATTCCACTGAGTCATCTCCCTTGCTCAATACAAATGTAGGGTTGGTGAGATGGCTCAGTGGCCTAAAGCACCTACTTAGAACAAGTTTAGCAAAGCACAGAGACTGTGGTTGAATCCCCCAGCACCACATGCCAGCCAGCCCGCCCCCTGGTGGGCTGAGCTGCCCCCCCCACAAATAAATACATTTAAAAAAATACAAATGTAGTAATGCTAATGTGTACCTCCTTTTAAAATATTTTTATCAGACCACAATTATGAATTTTTTTTTTTTTTTTGCGGAACTGGGGATTGAACTCACTGCCTTGCGCTTGCCAGGGAAGTGCTTATTCTATTGAGCCATCTCCCTGGCCCCTATAAGCTTTTCTTAATAAAGCTGAAAGCATAGCTTTTTGATACCTTGTGAGTAATTTTATTACTATATGCATTGAATAATTTTTAGAGTTTAGGGCTGGGGAGCTAGCTTGACCATCTAAGTGCCTACCTGGGAAGCATAAGGACCCAGATTCGGTCCCTAGTACACATGCTGTGCTGGCCCCAGAACCCTAGGTGCACCTTCCTGGCCACCAAAACAGTGTGGTCACACATACCTATAATCCCAGAACTGTTGAGACTTAGACAGGAGGGTCACTATGAGATGAGCTGCCTAGTGAACACCTATACCAAATATTTTTTTTAAAAAAAAAATTTAAATGAATAAAAAATAAAAAATTTTAGAGTTTCATGATAAATGAGAGGCTGGGGATATAAATAGCTCGGCAGCATGGCACCTGCCTGGCAAGTGCAAGGTCCTGAGTTAGATTTCTAGTATCTAAAAAATACAAAAGATAAATGAACACTTCTTTTCCTTTCTGCTTGCTGGTAGAGTTATACTATCCTCCAGCCTAGTCTTCTGTATATCTCACTGGGTTTTAATTTACTTCAAAAACTCAGATTTTCATGAAGTTATATTTTCAGCTGGAACCACTTCACAGGGTTACTTTTTGACATTTACAACGGCCTAGTGGGCAAAGTCTTAAGTTAGCTGGGCTTTGGCTTGCTGTCCTCCTGTCTCAGCGTCCCACAATGTTACAGGCCTGTACCACCATGTGTGGCATCCTCTGCTTTTTGCTATAATATTGAAACTATTCACTATGAAACATCTCTCATTTTGTTCTGCCATGACCCTAGCAGATGCTGTGTGGTTCTCTGCCTGAAGCCAGCTGTGTTCTCAATCTTGGCCTGGTCTTCCAGGTAGCCACCTAAGCAATTAGAGGTTAGTGTAAAGAAGTTCTTTTGAACAGCTCAAGCTAGTAACATAAAGAAAGGATAAGTAAGAAAATTTGAAGGTTTTTCCATTGCTGTTTGATGAAACCCAGGGTATTACATGTACTAGGCAGCTGTTCTATCATTGAGCCCTCTCTGCAGCCGTAGCCCTGCTGAAGATTATGTTTGCTCCTGGGACTTTGTTTTGTTTTTAAGATAGGATCTCATTCTGTAGCCCAGGCTGGCCTTGAAAGCACAGTACTCCTCCTGCCCTAGCCTTCTGAGTGCAGGGATCACAGGCATGTGCCACCATGCCTGGCTTCTGTGGGGCTTTTTCTTGGTAATATTTTGCACTTTATTTCCATGTTTATATAGGTAAGTAATATTTTTTTGTATCTTTATGGAGGTAGTAATATCTTTTGTAAGATCTTTGGTGGTTTTTTTTAATAAAGTTGGTCTTTGAGTTGTTGCAAAGACTACATAATGCTGAAGCTTCTTAACATGTTATCTCTTTAGTCCTTAGGGGAAAAGCTGAATGGAAGACTAGAAGTGGTCCATTGTGACTTTTTTAAAATGGATCCTAGCAATCATAATCTGGTGAGACCGCCTGTTGTGCTTTCACAAGAGCTTTTTCCAAGTTTGGGAATAAAAGCAAATTCCTGGTTAGAAGGTAACTTTTGTCATTCATCAAAGGAAACGCATTACAGTTTTGAGTTACTTGCGCAGTACACCTGTGGTGTTTAGTAATTTGTGCACAGTTCCTAATGTCAGATTCCTGAGCAACCACCCTCACATTAATTACCCTATTTTATTGCCTGAAAGGCCAAGTTCCATAGAAGGATACTGTTCATTTATTTAACATTAAAATTATTAACTACTTTGCCTCAATAAGATGTCATCATAGGACAGTGTATTAAGAGACTTCCTTTTGCATATTTCCCTAACAGATACTCCTTTTAAAGTAGTGGGAATGCTCCCTGTGAAGAATGAGAGAAAGGCACTTTGGAAACTTTTACATGATATGTATACTTGTTCTTCTATATATAGATATGGCCGAGTAGAGCTATATATGTTTATTAGTGAAAGCCAGTTTGAGGTAAGTAACTAACAAGGAGCTATTTTTTGTTTTTCAAGGCTTCTGTAATTTTTCTTAGTATTTATAATTGTGTAATTTTAATGTAGGGATTAGAATGTTAAGGGTACTGAAATTCTAGATTTCTGAAGCTATTTCAAAATTCTAGAACTATTCTGTAGATTATGATGATTATGATTGGGTTTGTTGTTTTTCATATTTGTGTTTTGAGAAAGGGCTCAGGCTGGCCTTGGACTTCCTCTCGCCCAGGCTGGTCTTGGACTTACTCTCGCCCAGGCTGACCTCAAACGTGAAGCACTCTGACCTTCAGCTTCCCCAGTGCTGGGATTACGTTGTGCACCACTATACCTGGCTTGTTAAGTTTAGAAGTTTTTATGTATTTTTTTATCCTGGTCTATTGGGGCCTACTGCAGCTTTGTCCAAAATAATGGTCTTGGGGGCTGGGGAAGTAAAATAAGTGCTTGCCTGGCAAGTGCAGGGTCCTGAGTTCAATCCCCAGTACTGCAAATAAATA